CTGCCGTTCTCATTGATCGGTAAACTTGGTCTTGTCTGACTGTTCTTCCTGATCTTCTGGGGGTGGAGCCTGTTGCAGTGGTTCTCAAATGTCTTTGCCAGAGGCGGAATTGCCCTGCCCTTGTTGGGGGCCAGGCTAAGTAATCTGCTGGGGTTTGCTCTCGGGAGTTTTTGTTCCCTGCAAGGTTTCTGTACAGCTTTGGAGGATGAGAGTGAAAATGGCAGCCTCCCAGTCTCCGCCCCAGAGGAGACGAGAGCTCGGGGCCCCAATCCTCACTGCGCCCCCAGAGAAAAGCAGTCAGTCACTCCTACCTCCCTGGTCTGCGGCTGCACTCCCTGCTCACCCGGCCTGTGACCGAGCATTTCTATCTCTGGCACCCGACCCCGTGTGGAGTCTTCAAACCCAGCAGATCCTTGAGGTGCACTCCCGCGCTGCTCCTCCCCAGGGGGAGGAAGGGGAGTCTCCCCGGATCTGCCGCTTTTTGGGTCCCTGCTGGAGGAGCAGTGGCCCAACTGTGCTGCGGATCATGGTTTATGGCAACCCCAAGCTGAGAGCCCGTGCCTTGGTTCTGTCTCTGCAGCCGGCTTCCCCGCTCCGATACCTGGGAGCTCTGCTGCACTCAGGCACCCCTGGTCTTTCTGAGACCCCGAGGGTCCTGAGACCACACTGTCCCAGAGAGGGTTCCACCTCCCGCTTAGCCACTGGAGCGACATCCTTCAGCAGAGCCGACTTCTAAAATTTCCAATTTTGTGCTCTGCTGCTCTATCACTTGCCAGTAGCTGCTGACGGAGGCCCCCTCCCCCGCCGTCTATCCTCCCGAATATCGCCTCGGATTCACTTCTCCGCGCGTCCTACCTTCCAGAAAGTGGTCGCTTTTCTGTTCATGGAGTTGCTGCTACTCTTGTCTTCGATCTCCTGTTGAGTTTGTAGGTGTTCAGAATGGTTTGATCACTATCTAGCTGAATTCCTGGGACCAGACCAAATTTAGGTCTCCTACTCCTCTGCTGTCTTGCTCCTCCCCCCTCCCACTTTTTATAATCTGTTGTAATCCTTCAAGGCCCAGCTCAAATCTTACATCTTTTACAAGATCTTCTTCAGCCCCTCCAGACAGAATTAGCACTGTCCTCCTCATAACATTTATTTGTATGATTCTATTTGTATCATAATAATTGATATTTTTCTCCTGCTGCACTAGTATGTTACATCTCAAAGCTTCTCCCCACCACTTACCCACAGATAGAAGAGAGGCCCACAGTGGGCTACTTGCCTATTTGTGAGGCCTCCCTGTCAATCCTGATTGATTCCCAGTTTTCTGCAGTTTCTGAAGCTGGTCTATGTGTTTTCCTGTGGAAATGGATGGCTGATTAAAGAAAGAGAATGATAACTAAGCTCTTGTTACCTGACCAGAGGGATAAACTCTCTCTTCAGAAAGCGTGGACTCTGGAAACAGACTTCAGACTTTGAAAACTGGCTCTACCACATTAGTTTTGTGACACTGAGCTTGTTTCAGTGCCTTAGATTCCTTATCTTTAAAATGGGACTAATAAGAGTTCACTAATTTATAGAGCAGTTTTGAAGATAATGATGAGATAATCCTTGTGAAGCACTTAGAAGAACAGGGCCTGGCACAGATAAAGCGCTCAAATAATGGTATCTGTTACCATTATCATCCTTGTCATTATTATCATTACCATTTTCTCATTTTGTCAATAATAATTCAGCATATTCCAGAACCTAGAAATAGTTTCTCTTGGCATAGGGTCTAGTTCAGAGTCCCCATTGCTGCTATCATTCCATCCCCTATTTCCTTGCGTCAGGAAATGGTTCTTCCCCATGTGGAAGGTAGTGGCCTCTTTGAGACTGTGTATGTGTATCATCTTTATGAGATTGGACCTCCCTAAATGTATTGAGATGGTAACAATGCTGTTATGGCCTGAAGGCACAGCCAACCCCTGTGGTGTCTTCTAAAGTAGAGCAGGGATAAAATTTCCTAGGGTCTTTCTACTAGAAGAAAGTATTCAAATAGAAACATATAACTGAGATGTTGGGCCGAAAGCATGTGCGAGAAGAAATTCATGTCACTGTTCATTTCATTGTTCTGAGAGGGTAAATGTGCTTCAGGTTACTCCTAAATGCGAGAGGTTTACAGGTGGCCTCTGCCATAAGCATGTCCTGGAAGCACGTGATCTAGTTACGTGGCTCCTTTGTGCTTATGCCCCTACTATTATTTGTGAGCCTTTGGTAAATTTTTGTTTGAATGTTCTAGTCTTACGGCAATTGTGGGAGGGTTAATAAAAGCAGGGCTATATACCTACCTTGCTACAGAGTAGGGAAACTATAGAGGGAATCCTTTTGGCCCTGATCCCTATAATGGTGGCAGCACTGATTGGTGACAGGTTCTCAAGGAGAAGAAAGTTCTCTGGGGAAAAAAGTCTTCACAGCAAAACTTAGCCCTTCCTTCCCACATAAAAACTCTTGCCTCACTGCCCTCTTAGAGCATAATAGCATAAGTAATAACTAACAATTACAGAGTGTTTATTATGTCCCAGGCACTGAAATAAGTATACCATCTCATGTAACCCTCACTACAACCTCATGAAGTAGGTACTATTATTATTCCCATTTTATTGAGGAGAAAACTTGACGTATAGAGAGATTATGAATTTGCTCAAGGTCCTACAGTTGATAAGAAGCAGAACTGAGATTCAGACCTGGCTATCTGACTCCAAAACCTGCATTTCTTTTAACATTTTACTATGGAGAGTTTCAAACATAAACCAAAGTTAAAAAACAAAACAAAACAAAACAGTATAATGTACTCCCCATGTGCCTATCTCCCAGCTTCAACATTTACCACCCGTTATGTCCGTTCTTGTTTCATCTGTACCCCTACCCACATCCCCAACCAAGACACATGTATGTCATTTCATCCATAAATGTTTCAGTATACATCTCTAAAAGATAAGGACTTTAAAGCCAAATTACAATACCATAATCATACCTGAAAGAAAACAAAACAAACAGTAATTCCTTAAGATCACTATCTAGACAATATTTAAATTCTGTCATTTTTTTAAAAATCAGGATCCAACAAGATATATGTATTACAACTGCTCAACATGTTTCTCAAGTCTCATTTGGCCAAACAGAACCTCTTTTCTTAATCACTACACTCTGATCTAGGTTTTCTATTATGAAGAAAGGTGACAGTTTCCTTACAGCAGGAGTTCTCAATCAAGGATTAACAGCTTTAAGCGACTCTATGAATCTCTTAAATTTAGTTTTTAAAATTTTTCATGTATTTGTGTGGGTTAATTTGTCTAGGGAGAGTATCCTTGGCTCTCCTAAGAGTCTCAAAGCTTTAAGTAAAACTCAGAACAACTGAAAAGTAGGTCCTATTGTCACAGAAAATTGTGGACCACAAAAGCTAAGGGAAGAACATGGCTAGTTGGAGGTTTCTTTATGAGGATGGAGAATGAAGTTAAATTCTGTTAAGTTTATTAACTTAAAATTTGAGAGATTTTAACAAATTACTTTTGAGAGAAATAGAAATAGTTAAGGATTAACTGATGTCTCTTTAAAAAGAACAGAATTATAATTGGGGACTCTTAAGTCCCTTTTAAATTACATATCCCTTTGAATAAAGCATCTTGGTATATTATGGTTTTACTAAATTGTGGTGGTGAAAATCAAACTCCCATCCTGAACTGAATTCCCTATTTTATGGGATCTGTGACTCCACATGAATTGGGCTAGATAGAGACTGATTTTGTGAGATATCAGTGATTAGTTCCACAATAATAGCTCCATTGAAAAGGTGTAAAATTTTTCAATATTATGTGTACATGTATAAAAATGAAATGGTAATGAAGTTAGCTTTAATCTTCCCTCTTTGCATCACCTTTTCCTAGATGAAATCCAACATCAAACACCCAATGGTATTATCGCCAGCAGTATGGAACCCCCCAAGCTACCACAATACCCCAAACTGCCTATTCAGAGGAGTGGAGAAGCTGACACTGGGAGGAAGTCTCCAAGTAGCAGGCCTGTTTCAGATGGCAAGTTGGAGTCCTGTCCTGAAGTGGATGTGGGGAAGCTGGTGTCTAGGCTGCAGGATGGAGGGACCAAGGCCATACCAAAGGCCACCAATGGACCTGTGCCAGGCTCTGGGCCCACCAAAGCCCCCTCTTTCCACATAAAGAGACCAGCTCCTCGACCCCTGGCTCACCACAAGGAGGGTAAGTGCTTGGGAATCCAATTGGAATCAGAATTGAAACCAACTATTTTGCACCCTAAGATCTTTCTGAGGTTGGAGATATTTAAGTAGGGATCTGTTCCCAATTTACTACCACTAATATTGGAATGGTGGGTAAGAACATAAAAGCCATTCACAATAATCACTAGAGTGTAAACCATTTTAATGAGGGCGGGGATTTGGGGCCTGTTTTATTTACCTCTATATCCCAAGTGCTTAGAACAATGCTCGACTGTCCCAAGGTAAGCAGTCATTGTAGAATAAATTAATAATAATGATGTTTTTATCAATATTATTACTGCTGCTGTTGCCATTAAGTATCTGCTGTGTCCCTGGCACTGTACTAGGTACTGACAAATTATTTTCGATCCTCACAACCTTACTGTGAAGAATGTATTACTGTTTTTTTTTTTTCCTACTAGAAAACTGGGGATCCTAGAGCTAAGTGACTTGCCAAAGGTTCACAGTTACTAACTAGCAGAGCTGGGGTCTCAATCTTATCAAGTCTGGCAGGTAACAAAGCCTGTGTTATTTCCAATAAGGCAGAACTATCACTTTTCCTTTGTATAAGAAGCTTTGAAATTGGTGAACTGATGGTTTCTCATTCTCACTTTTCAGATTAGTCAAGATAGGGACAAAGGGACACAACTTCTGCAAAACTCTGGACTTTTTAAATTACAAATTCAAGATATGGCTGACTTTGGTATATTTAATTGGAGACTCATGTTTGGAGGTTGGGGCTAATCCAGAGGGTATCTGGAGGGCGGTACATAATTCTATGAAGATAATATGATATAATGGACAGAATATGGACTTTGATATCAGAAAGGTTCAGACCCAAATTGTGGCTCTTTTACTTTCTAGCTAGATGCCCTTCTAAAAATGTGCCTTGTTTTTTATCCTGTCCTGTTCCAGAAAGGAATTAAGGCTTCCACAATATAGAAAATACAGGAACTTAAAAATAGTAAGAATAATTTATTCAACAAGTATTTATTGAATACTTGTTGTGTGCCTGGCCCCATTCTAGGCATTAAGGACATAAGAATGAATAAGACATACAAGGTCCCTACTCTCTTGAGGCTTATATCAAGGCTTAGCGAACTATGGCCTTAACTGAAAAATATCAAAAGAAAAATAATATGTCATGACTCATGAAAATTATATGAAATTAAAATTTCTGTACCCATCAACAGAAACACACCACCTCATTTACACATTGTCTAAAGCTACTTTCACACTAAAACAGCAGAATTAAGTAGTAGCAACAGAGATCTTATGGCCTACAAGTCCTAAAATATTAGCTATCTGATACTTTACAGAAAATGCTTGCTGACTTCTGCCTTAGATTCTAGAGAGTACAGGTGAGAAAAAAATGAAGCCAAGAGAGGGAAAAAAGGTAGGATAGTAGGGATATGGAAAGAATGGAGTTAGTACACAAAATGTTTGCTATGAAGCCTTACACGCTTACTGGAACAGTGTCACAGATTTGGCTCCAAACTTTCTACAGAAAATGAAAAGAGAAAGAACTTAATAGTCATGTAAATCCATGCCCTTAAGGTAACAACAAGCAAGCTGTTCAAAAAAGCACAACTCATCCATTTTTGAAGCCAGAGAATATTTCTAAGAAACATTTTCTCTTAAGGACTGTTGCGTATAAAAACCTCAGTATCAGCTGATTGCATTGTCTCAGAGCACAATTCAGTGAAAGCTATTCTATGGGAGTCTGATAAGATTTCCACTAAGTAACTGACTCTGTGAATTCTTTGGCTTGACCCAGTGATGCATCTGTCTGTATGATTAATAGTTAAGTTATTTAAGATCTGCACACCTTGGTTTCTATATCTATGAATAGGAGAAACAGCTCATCCCACAGAATTATTGCTAAGGTTAAAAAAATAACAAAATATCTGCCATGTAATCAATATTCAAAATATGTTATTAATTCCCTTTCTCTGCCCTTCCCCTTCCTAAGATTTGCCTATTCAAGGGAATAGCCAATTAAGACCAGACTTCTATGTAGACACAGCTTCAATTTATAAGTCATGTGTTGACCTTCACATCAATCTGTTAGAGAGTTGGGTAACTCAAGTTATATTCATCACAGTGAAGTTTGTCTTGCCTGCTACCAAGTCTTGAGGTCAGCCAGATCCTATAAGTTTAGCATACACAGTAACTTAGCCCTCCCTAACCATCATCTACTGCAAAGTTAAATTCCAGAGGCATTCCCCCTTCCCCTTCCTCCACAGTCCTGCTCCAGACTTCTGGCAGCAACTAACAGTTTCAGTCAATGTAAGTACTGATCTTACTGTCCAGTATCAGCCAGCCTATCTAAGTTTGGGCCACATCATTGCCTGCTTTTGCTTTCTATCTTAAAACAGTCAGCAACAGGCTGGTGTGATGCAGCATTTTTCAAAGCCCCATGCCTCCAGCCTTAGCCACAGAAAACAGAACTGAGGTAGTGGTTCTGGCCTTGGTGGAAAATCAGCCAAACTTCTGCCTCTTTGCTGTTTTTTTTTTTCAAGTTTTTATTTAAATTCCAGTTAGTTAACATACAGTGTAACATTCATTTTAGGAGTAGCATTTAGTGATTCATCACTTAAATATAACACTCAGTGCTCATCACAAGTGCCCTCCGTAATATCCATCACCCATTTAGCCCATCCCCCCACATACCTGCCCTGCAGCAACCCTCAATTTGTCCTCTATAGTTAAGAGTCTGTTTTATGGTTTGCTTCTCTGTTTCCCCATATGTTCATCTGTTTTGTTTCTTAAATTCCACATAATGAGTGAAATCATATGGTACTTGTCTTTGACTGACTGACTTATTTCGGTTAGCATAATACACTCTAGCTCCATCCACATCATTGAAATGGCAGGATTTCATTTTTTTGATAGCTGAGTAATATTCCATTGTATATATATACCATGACTTCGTTATCCATTCATCAGTCAATGGACATATGGGCTCTTTCCATAATTTGGCTACTGTTTATAATGCTGCCATAACCATCAAAATCCTAGAGGAAAACACAGGCAGAAACCTCTTTGACATTAGCCGTAGCAACTTCTTGCTTACTGTGCCACTCTCATGTCTCCCATCTCCATCCCTTGTATCAATCCAACATTTGAGTGGACTTGATATTCTTTACATTTTTCCTTAGCAATTAAAAATAGCACACACAAGGTGCATGTTAAATTGCATTGTTCCATGGCAATCAACTTACAATAAAAATGATATTGTTTGCTGATATAATTTAGTCAAGGACTCTTTTCTTTTCCAGACATAGAACTAACTGGATGCTTTCTCTTTTTCTATTGTATTCTATTGTGATAGACCTATGAGATAGGTTTTTCCCCTCATTTCATGTTTATTTCCCCATTAAGGAAAAACTGAGGCTCAGAGAAGTGAAACAACTTCTCAGAGTCACCCACATTGTAAGATATGGAGACAGAGCTTGAACCTTGGCTTCTTTTGAGTATCACATTTTTATTTCTTAAACAGCTTTAGCTACCTTCTCCTTTCTATTTTCTAAGAAGCATTAGCTTTTAGGAGAGCAAAATTATACAAGCCAATGTCCTGTCCTCCTTTGACAGCACTGCTTCTAACCAGGCCTGGCTTTGGAGAGGGCTTTTGTGTAGTTTCTACAAAGGGACTTAGGACGTTCCTTTTGAGAGTAGGGTGGGGAAGAGATCTACTTACATGCATTTGTTCATTTATTCAGGCATAGTGCTATGCAGTGGGAGAGAAAAGGATGAAAGGCCATGCATGGTCCCTGCCCTCCAAAGGTTCGTGGTGAGGCTGGCATGTAAGCAACCAGTCCCAGTCCCATATGACCCATGTTCTGATGGGGGTGAGAATAAATTCCTGTTGGAGCATGGGGCAAGGAGCCCTTCACTCTGCGTTGGGTTCTGAGATAAAGGTGAAGGATATATCCACACTGGAAACCAATAATATATGTGTTTAGGAGCCCTTCTTAACTCTTTCCTCTGTCTTGACCAGAGAGAAAAGACTGCATTCTGATGGTGTGTTCTAGGGTTTGGAGAAAGAGTGCTTGTAAGGCCTTGCTCAGCTACAGGGCCATCAATTCTCCACTGGGTTAACTATTGCAGTGAGTAGCATTTGTGTCAGCTCTAGAAGCATTAGAAGCAGACCTGTCCTTGAAATAATTGGCTGTGCTGGCCGTTACCCACATTTGCTTGTTTGGATTCATTATGCTTTAGTAATCTACTGTGTTTGGTTTTCATTCTCTGCCTTTCCTGGAGCCTAACTCCCAAGTGATCCAAAAGAGTAATTAGTGGCTACAGGAGAAGAGAGGCTTTCAGATGAGCATGGCAGAATTTCATAGAAAGTAAGAGATGATTCTGGAAAACTGGGGGAATGTACAAGGAGAAAGAACCTCCCCTTATCGTGCTCTCAGATTTGGTGTAGATGGATATAAGAAAAGGTGGGAGAAAGTTGCTTAAGGTTGAAGACTGATGGCCATGAGGTACTAAGAAATCAACAAGTGCTAAGATTGGCTATAGTCATTTTACAGAGAATGGGGAGGGAGAGAAGAGGTTGGGATGGAGAGGGAGGTCAAATTTGTAGTAAAAGTCAGGTGTGGACCAAAGTTAAAAAGAAATTAAGAGGAAGTACAGTTTGGTAGAAAGATCATAGGCTCAGAAGGCTTAGTGAGGTCTCAGATGTGACAAGCTTCAGTCTCCCAGATAGGATTTTGAATCCTAGCTCTGCCTCAGAGCTGTGGGACCTTTGGCAAGCCACAACCTCTCTGAGTCTTAGTTTTCTTATTTGTAAAATGAAGATAATAATTATGCCCATAGGATTGTTACAACAATGGAATGAGGTATCCATTTGCTTGGCACATAATGAGTACTCAGTAAGTGGTAGCAATTGTTTTGCTTTTATAGGAAGCTAAGTACTAGCTACATAATCTTAGATAAACTTAACTTCTTTGAGCCAGTTTTATTAACTGTAAATGGGGA